TGGATGGACAGATGAATGGATGGATGGATGGATGGATGGACAGATGGATGGATGGATGAATAGATCAATGGATGGAGAAATGGATGGATAGAGGTAGATGGATGGATGGATGGATGGATGGATGGGCGGACAGATGGATGGATGAATAGATCAATGGATGGAGAAATGGATGGATAGAGGTAGATGGATTGATGGATGGATGGATGGATGGATGGATGGATGGATGGAGATGATATACTGTGGAATATGACCAATTCCTGAGAAATTAAGGAAACACACTGTATGGAAATACCAGGGGGAGCTAAGCTCTGTCCATATCTTGTAGTACACCTGATCAAACTGATTTTGGAAGTCTGACCCCCAGAGATGAGAGCACAAACCTATTTTAAAAACAAAGGCATGACTTGTATCTGCACTGAATATGCGTATTTGTCACTGTCATTGTTCCCTAGACAACACCATATGTCAACCGTTTGCCTGAATTTACCTGGCACCACATGTAAGTACTCTAGAGGTAAGTTACTAAAGTAAACAGGTATTGGTTATATAAAAACACACCATTTTACATAGAAATTGATACTTTGCAGGTTTTGTAACTATCCTTAAGAAAAAAAAAGAACTAGAATTGATTCTTCACAAATACCAAGGGATGATTATTATAATTATCAGAAGACAGCGAAATAAAATATAGGCATCAAATTCTGAAACAATTTAACAGGATCAGTTTAGGTTCCTTGAGGTGAAATAGGAACTGCCCAGGTTTATGAACTGAACCCTCTAAACTGTAGTACATGGTTGTCTGTGAAGTAAAAACAATGTGTCTGGAGCGAGTGGAAACAATATGTCCAACTTTCTGTCTTACAGTGACTACACGTGCTCATCAGTTTATCTCAGTCGAACATGGCTCCTGAATGGGTATCCTATGAGATTCTTCAAGAGAAGTTTTATAAAAGAGCTGGCTACAGAAAGGTTTTCCATAAATAAATAATAAATAAAAAGTAAATACATGTATGAATAGATAAATAAGTATACCCTTTTGACCAGCAACTAAAGCTATCTCTAGAACATCATAATAATGACATTTTTTAAAATTGTCTAAGATCCCAGTAATGCCTTTAGATTGAAAAGGATTTTATTGGTGACATCTATGCTCACTGTTTAGCTTCATGGAGATGCTAACATGTTGATACTGAAGGTTCAGCAGAGTCTCCAAACCAAATATCCCCTACAGTAAACTCTCATTACCTCATCTTTATAACTGGTTTCAAATATTTATCTCACTTAGTGACACTGGGCATTGTTTAACTCACCTACCTTACGTTACAGTTACTACCTATGAGTCTAAACCTTGTTATCTGAAATGAAGAAGTGCAAACTTATAGAATACAAAAACATTCCCTTTAGATTGAAAAAAAACCCAAATATATGCTACATATATTCGTGATATATATATATATATATATATATATATATATATATATATATACACACACACACACACACACATTTGATTTGATTTGTAGTATTTAAAACCTTATCAAAAAGATTCCCCTAAGAGCATGATAATAAAAATGATTGAGAGATACTAAGCCAATCTTACATGAGGATTCAAATATCCTAAATATGCCCATACTCCAATCAGCTAAAGAAATCACAGCATTTGTCACTAGAAATTCTACAACTGTAAATTGTGTACACAAATCAATTTGTCCTAAGTAATGTCCTCAATTATGAGGTTCCTAAAATTATTCCAGAGTTTAAGCTGATAACCAACGTAGTATTAATAGTGTTGTATCAGTATTTATTTTATCCTAGAAGTATTATAGAAAAGTAAAAAAAACACTTAATTTTATTCATATTTATTCTTGAATAAAACGAACTCACTAGAATGAAAAACCCTATCAGGAAGCCAACTGTCTGTTCACCAAACTAAAGCAAAATATTGATGACAATTAAATAAAAGCAGATGCTTAAAACAATATAAGACATAAGTCAGTGAGATTTCTGTTAACTTCTACAGCCATGTAGGAAAAGGTCAGATAGGTCTCTAAAAAATATTTTTTACATAAGTATTTATTTATGTTAACCTAAAATACTGAATACTAAATGAATTTTCTAGCACATCTAAGCAACGCCTCAGCAGATGCTCACAGGGATGCTCTCACAAGGATGGTCTCACAGGGATGCTCTCACAGGGATGTGCTCACAGGGATGCTCTCA